ATACCCAAAGGCAGCTACTCAGCTGCTTGTGGTAGATCCCACCATGGAGTTGATTGCCAGTCTCATCATGGGGAATAACTACATCCAGCTGCCCAGCCACTCAACCAGGCCCAGCCAAGTGGATACACAAACAGAACAATCATAGTGCCCTTTTACAGAGAAGATAGGGAATCATGGGTGAGGAGGTTCCTGTGTGTGTGTGTGCACATGCGTGCACATGTTCAATGTACCCATATGCAGGATGGACAAGCTACTCATGAAGGACCAACGGCTTTATTGGTGAAAGGATGGCAAGACCTACTTACGGAAAAACTCAAAATCATACAAAAAGACCAGGTTTACTAGTCTGATAGAGCTAGTGAGACCTCCAAGGCCATGGCCCCTAGTTACCCTTCAAGTGTGGAACTGAACTGACCCCGTGGCTTCCAGCCAAAACAACAGACAAGCATATGTTGTTGTTGTTGTTGTTATGTGCATGGAGTTGGATCCGATTCATAGCGACTCCTCCTTGGGTTTCTGAGGTGGTATCACTACGGAAGTAGATTGCCCAACCTTCCTTCCGAGAAGTGGCTGGTGGGTTTGAACCGCCAGCCTTCTGGTTAGCAGTCAAGTGCTTTAGGCACTACACCACCAGAGCTCCCAGACAAGCATATAGAGTGAACATTTCCATCAGGTAGATATACTCCTTAGACTGATCAATCATGGGAGATCTGAAGGGCCGTATCTGCACAGTGAGACAGCTCGGGGGACAGGAGTGCATGGAAGGGAAGGACACAGGGAAGAGGTAACCACAGGGAGGAAGTAGGAAGAGAGCTCTTACAGTGTTAATTGCAGTCAATGTCATGAGACAAAATGTGTATGAACTGCTGTATGGAAAATGAATTTGCTCTATAAACTCTCACCCAAATCACAGTAAAAAATTTAAAAAACAACACAAAACCTACTGAGAGAGGAATGATGAGAACCAACCAAACCCAACCCACTGCCATGGAGTCTATTCTGACTCACAGCGCCCCTAGAGGACAGAGTGGAACTGCCCCACAGGGTTTCCAAGGCTGTCAATCTCCACAGAAGCAAAGCCCAAACCACACCCACTGCCGTGGAGTCGATTCTGACTCACAGCGCCCCTAGAGGACAGAGTGGAACTGCCCCACAGGGTCTCCAAGGCTGTCAGTCTTCACAGAAGCAAAGACCAAACCACACCCACTGGAAGCAAAGCCCAAACCAAAGTCACTGCCACTGACTTGACTTGACTCATAGCGACCCCTCCTTGGGTTTCTGAGGTGGTATCACTACGAAAGTAGATTGCCCCATGTTCCTTCCAAGGAGTGACTGGTGG